GTACAAAAAAAAAAAATCAATTACCAAGCTGGGCATGGTAGCACACACCTATAATCCCAGCACTCAGGAGCCTGAGGCAGGAGGATCACCACAAGTTCCAGGCCAGCCCAGGTTACATAATGAGTTCAGGGCCAGCCTGAACTACAAAGGGAGATCCTGCCTCAAAAAAAAAAAAAAAAAAAAAAAAAAAAAAATCAGTTACCAGCTGGAGAATAAGATCACTCAAAAGGAGAAAGTTACTCCTGAGAGCCTCTGGAAGACTCACACAACTGTAATCCCAGCATTTGGAAGGCCAAGGCACAAGGCCAGCCTGGGCTACACAGTGAGTTCAAGGCCAGCTTGAACTATTGGTATATAGTGAGACCCTGTCTCAAAAAACAAGCAAACAAACAACAACAACAAAACATAGCTACCTCTATGCATGTGGGTCTCTTTTAGACTCTTTAGTTCCACTGATCTGTTTTTGTTTTTTGAGACAGTCTTATTATGTAGTTGGTTGACCTCAAACTTGCAGTGATTCTCCTGCCTCAGCCTCTTGAATGCTGAGATTATAGGTATGTGCCACCATGTACACCCTTGTATTTCTATCTTTTATAATACCATACTACCTTGATTATTCCACCTTTATGCAATACAGTTTATTGTGGAGAATGTTCATGTACACTTAAAAGTAAAACGTATTCTACAAATGTTAAGTGAAGTCTTCTGTAAATGTCAGGTCATGCTAGCAGATGATGTTGTCTTTTTGTTTTTTGTTTTTTGGGTACCAGGATCGAACTCAGGACCTCGCACTTGCAAGGCAAGCAACAGCACTACTGAGCTACATCCCCAGCCCTGATGTTTACATTTTCTATTATCTTGTTAATTTTTGTCTGGCTGATCTATCAGTTACTGAAAGTGAAGACTTAGGGCCGGGGATGTAGCTCAGTGGTTCCGCCCCGACTCGCAGGCACAAGGACCTGAGTTCGATCCCCAGTACCCTCCCCCCGCCAAAAAACAGTGAAAGTGAAGATTTAAATCCCCAACTACCGTTGTTGAACTGTTTATTTCTCCTTTCAATTTTTGTCCATTTTCCCTTCATATACTTTGGAGTTCTGTTGTTGGGAGCACATACAGTTATGCTATCTTTTTTTTTTTTTTTTGTACCAGAGATCGAACTCAGGACCCTGTGCTTGTGAGGCAGGCGCTGGAACCACTGAGCTAAATCCCCAGCCCTGGTTGTGCTATCTTGATCTACTGCCACTTTATCATTATGAAATGTCCCTTTTAGCTCTAGTGTTTGTCTTATAACACTTTTAATCTGACATTGATACAGAACCCCAGCTCTCCTAGTTACTATTTACACTCCTTATCCTTTTCTATCTTTTAACTTCAACCTATCTTTGTCACTGAGTCTAAGGTGTGCCTTTGCCGCTGGCACGTAGCTAGCTGGATCTGACAACCTGAATCGTAATGTGTTCACACTTAATGTAACTTCAGATGTGTTCAGAATGACATCTGTTGTTTTTCTATTTGTATTCCACGTGTCTTCTGCCTTTCTCCTTGTTGTTACTGTTTCACTGCCCTCCCCATGTTAATAGTACAGCCATTCCTCCATATCCACAAAGGATTCGTTCCATGACCTCTGTGGATAACAAAATCCAAGGATGCTCAAGTATTTTCTATAATATGAAATGGCACAGTATTTGCACATAATCTTACACATATCCTCCCACATACTTTAAATTATTTCCCAATTATTATACTTAATATAATGTAAACATATAGCTACATAATTATTCAAGGGATATTGAAAATAAATTCTGTATATATTTAGTACAGATGCTACCATCACAGGCCTGATTACATGGTACATAATCTGTGGATATGGAGGGCCAACTGCACATTTAGGGTACCGTTTTAATTCCTGTTGACTTTTCTAATACCAGAGTGAATCAGGGGCCCCATACATGCTACACAAGCATTTTTTTTTTAAGACAGAGTCTCACTATGTAGTTCAGGCTGGCCTTGAACTTGCAGTGATTCTCTTGCCTCATCCTCCCAAATGCGGAGATTACAGGTGTGTGCCACCACACCTGGCCTACACAAACATTCTACCACTGAGCTACAACTTCACCCCTTTTTATTTTGATATAAAGTCTCACTGAGTTGACCAGGCTGGCCACAAACCTTTTGACAAAGGAGCCAAACACCTTCACTGGAAGAAAGATAGTCTCTTTTATAAACGGTACTGAAAAAATTGGCTTTCCACATGCCGAAGACTAAAACTAGACCCATATCTTTCACCACACACTAACCTAAAATCAAAATAGATCAAAGATCTAAGTATTAAAACAGAAACATTCTGCCTGCTGCGCAAGCACAAGGACCCAAGTTCATTCTCCAGTACAAAAAAATAAAAAACAGAAACCCTAAATGTGCTGCAAGATAGAGCAGGTGGAACTCTCAAAGACATTGGCGTAGGCAGCGCCGGGGATTTAGCTCAGCAGTTCTGCCGCCTGCTCGAAAGCGCAAGGACCCGAGTTCCATCCCCAGTACCAAGAAAAAAAAAAAAGGTTAAGGACATTGGTGTAGGCAAAGATGTTAGGAACAAAACCCCAACTGCACAGGAACTATCACAAAGAATTAACTGGGTTCTCATCTTATTAAAAAGCTTTTGCACACCCAATGAAACCACCAACAGAGTGAAGAGATAATTCACAGTGTGGGGAGAAATTTTTGCCAGCTGTTCCTCAGAAAAAGGACTAATATCTAGAATATATAAAGAACTAAAAAAAAAAATCAGACCCCCCCACTCAAATTTAAAGACTCAATTCCAAAATGGGCGTGTGAAATGAACAGACACTTCTCAGATGAAAAAGTAAAAACAGCAAATAAATGTATGAAAAAATGTTCAACATCACTGGTCATTTGAGAGATGCAAATTAAAACAAGGCCGAGATTCCTTTTCACTCTGGTGAAAAAAATTTTCACCTGCTGTTCCTCAGACAAAGGTCTACTATCTCGAATCTACAAAGAACTTAAAAAGATCAGACCTCCCAAATTTAAAGACCCAATCCAAAAATGGGCGGCTGAAATGAACAGACATTTCTCAGACAAAGAAGCAGAAAGAGCAAATAAACATATGAAAAAATGTTCAACATCACTGGTCACTCGAGAGATGCAAATGAAAACAATGCTGAGATTCTACTTCACTCCAGAAAGAATGGCTGCTATCATGAAATCAACCAATAACAAATGCTGGCGGGGCTGTGGGGAAAGAGGAACCCTGCTCCACTGCTAGTGGGAGTGTAGACTGGTGCGAGCACTGTGGAAATCAGTATGGAGATACCTCAAAGAACTAGGACTGGAAGTCCCATTTGACCCTGCTATTCCACTGCTGGGGATCTTCCCCAAAGAATTCAAAGAATCATACCACAGCGATATATGTGTGCCCATGTTCATAGCAGCACAGTCTGTAATAGCTAAAACTTGGAAACAGCCCAAATGCCCATCAGCTGGAGACTGGATAAAGAAAATGTGGGTTTTTTATAAAATGGAATACTACTCAGCCATAAAAAATGAGAAATTAGAGATATTTATAGCTAAATGGATGCACATTGAGGTGATACTCCTAAGTGAAATAAATAGGACACACGTGTAAATACCAAATAGTTTCTCTGGTTTGAGAAACTGAAAGTATAAATAAGGACTAAAAGGTATAATAGATAATGTGAAATAAGAAGAAAAGGGGCAAAGGGAAGGGGAAGTAAGGGGGTAGAGGAAAGGAAAGTAGGTAATAGAATTAATATGAGAAATGAAAAAATGGAAACGAAGTCTTTGTAAATAAGGAGGGATGGGCGGGTTGAAGGGAGGGCAGGGGAAAGGGGAAAAATAAAAACCAAGACAGATTATGTAAAGGTGCAAATTTCCAATGATGAATATGGTGATACTGTATGCCTAAAATGTACCAATAAAATTAAATTTAAAAAAAAACTGGAGGTTCCATTCAACCCAGCTATTTCCCTTCTTGGTATCTTTCCAAAAGAATTAAGGGCATAATACACAGTGACATATTTGCATTCATGTTTATAGTGGCACTGTTTGTACTAGCTGAATCTTGGAAACAGCCCAAATGCCCACCAACCAACAAATTGATAAAGAACATGTGGTTTTTTTATACAATGGAGTACTCTGCTATAAAGAAGAATAAGCTTGAGACATTTCTTGCTAAATAGATGCACCTTTTGACTATATCTTTTTTTTGGTACCTGGGATCAAACTCAGGACTCTGCGCTTGTGAGGCAGGCACGGCGCCACTGAGCTAAATCCCCAGCCCAAGGCCATACTCCTAAGTCAAATAAATCAGACACACATGTTTAAATCCCACATTGTTTCTCTGGTGTGAGAAACCAAAAGTGGAAATAAGGACTAAAATGTACAATAGATATTGGGAAACGGGAAGAAAATGTTCAAATGGGACGGGGAACAAGGGAAGGGGGAGGGTGAAAGAAAAGAAGTGATGAGGAAAAAGAAAGAACAGAAGGAAAAGAGCTGGGCGTTTAGCTTAGTGGTTCCACCTGCCTGCCTGCCTCTCAAGTGCAAGGACCCGAGTTCGATCCCCTGGTAACAAAAAAAAAAAAGAAAGAAAGAATAGAAGGAAAAAATGGAAACAAAGCTTTTGTAAATAAGGAGGGGAAGAGGGGTTGAAGGGAGCGGGTGGAATGGGAACAAAAGAAGAATCAAGATATATCATGTACAGGTACAAATTCCCCATGATGAATGTTATCATTACGTATATCTAAAATGTACCAATAAAAGTTTTGCTTCAAAAAAATCCAAAACAGGGCCGGAGATTTAGCTCAGTGGTTTCGCCACCTGCTGCGCAAGCACAAGGACCCGAGTTTGATCCCCGGTACCAAAAAAAAAAAAAATCCAAAACAAACAAACCAAATAATAATAATAATAATGCACTCAAAAGGCAAAAGAAGAAGAAATCTCACCAAGCAGGAGTAACCAACCTGTGAGTAGTGGATAGTGAAGATGGCATGGGATCTGCTGCTGGCTTCATGAACATGGGTGGCTGCTGTAATTCTGTGTATAAAAGGGAAGACAGTTAGAACAAGGATTGTTTATGCACGGTAGACCCTGAAGGATCCATGGGGAATACGAGAAAGGTTAGTCCTGGAGGTCACAGATGAGAATTATAAAACATCACGTTAAGTCTGGTACAGTTAGGAAATGGTTCAAAGAGAGCAGCAGCACTTTACATGCTGAAAGCTGAGAAAAAACACGTTAGTTTCACACCAACTCACATTGAAACACTGTTTAAAAAGTGATAAAAGCTAACATCAGAGTGAAAAGGGGAATGCTATAGTGTTATCGACCTAGAACAATATCCCTGAGACAGACCATTTAAAGAAGACAACCAAAGGTAGAGAGCTTGTCAGAGAAGACTCCAAAACAGAGAAATGTTAAGTGATAGCCGTCCATGGTGGTGCATGCCTATGATCCCAGCATTGTGAAGGCTGATGGGGAGGATCACCACTAGTTTGAGGCCAGCCTCATCTACACAGTAGATTTGAACAAAAGCAAGAAAGGAAGGAAAGAAGGGAAGAAGGGAGGAAGGGAGGAAGGGAGGAAGGGAGGAAGGGAGGGAGGTAGGGAGGAAGGGAGGAAGGGAGGAAGGGAGGAAGGGAGGAAGGGAGG